ATCGCGCGCCGCCGCCCTCTATTCAAAATACGATCAAATTTGACAGGCCGCTGTCAAAATCCGATAAAGTTTAAAACGCACGCGCCGACACGTGCCGTTTTGACATTTGACATGTCGGGAACTGTCAAATATGAGAATAGAGAACGGCCGGTCAAGTTATTGTTTCTTAAATCGACTTTTGACCATAACTACATATTGGTGGTGACGTGAACATTGTTAGTATTGAAACTGTTTAGTTTGATATTACACACTTATTCGTTCATTGAGGTAGGGGTGTTATGTAAGTACCTATTTATTCTGGTGTAATGACTTCTTGACTCATTGCCTCCATGCAGTGGATGTTTACCTATACCCAAGTATTGAATATGATCGCTAGCTGGCAGTGTTTTTAGATTTTTTACTTTTGAGTTTGTAATTTGACTGCCTCGCTGGCCGAGTAGTCCGCAAGTGCGACTGCCGGGCAAGGGGACTCGGGTTCGATTCCCGGGTCAGGCAAAGTATCCTGCTTTTTCAAGAAATTTGAGTAATAGTACGGAGTCTGGAATAGTGTCCGGTATATGGCAATAGGCTCACCCCCTATTACATGGGACTCATAACATAAATAGTGACAAGTGGGTACAGTGGCATTAAGTGCCGTAATGTACTCATCTCTGCCTACCCCTTCGGGGATAAAAGGCGTGATGTTATGTTATGAGTTTGAAACTGTCCTAAGGTGCAGTGTGCCTGTAACATTGATTTTTATAGCTTTGTGCTTTCAAAAGACGGCAGTTACAAGTCCAAGGGCCGATTTATCCAATGCCAGATAAATTTTAACTAAGGAATATTAGACAATTCTTCAATACCTACTGAAAACTGTTAAATGTCAATTTTATTCTACAGTTAAGAACTAACTGACGATTCAAAAACCGGTCCTAAAATACTGATCAAATTTAGTAAATAGAAACAATTCAATTGATACTTACCCTGATTTGTATCTAAGCTGCCTCATTGGCCGAGTGGTCGCAAGTGCATCTGCCGGGCAAGGGGTCTCGGGTTCGATTGCTGGGTCGGGCAAAGTACTACTGGGTTTGTAAAAACCTCAGTAGTAGCACGGAGTCTGGAAATGTGCCCGGTATATGTCAATAGGCTCACCCCCTATTACATGGGACTCATAACAGAATAATGAAAAGTGGGTGTTACATTGTACGTGGCGTAATGTGCACCTTTGCCTACCCCTTCCGGGATAAAAGGCGTGATGTTATGTATGTTGTATCTATAGATTTTTTGATACTTACTTGGCTAGATTGTTTTATCTTGATCCATATTAGTGGCCAATTTGGGTTCACGCTTAATATTGGTTTTATAGATGTTTTAATAAGCATGACACGAATTAAGTATCTTAAGGTATAACTTAAGTGAAACCACAAACTACAAAACAGGAACTAGACAATTTCTATTTCTAAGAATCCGACTCTGTTGCACACCTGTCTATATTTCCACGAGTAACGTGCAACTTAGATAATAACGGTAATGTAAACGTTATAATAACTGTTATTAACTATAATAACAGTTTTCACTAGAAGGCGGCAACACCTCTATTATAATGGTCGTCATGTATGTGACATGCGCTATGAACTATTCTAACGATTAATTTTGTAATTGCGGGAAAATAATTGATAATAATTATTGCAGCTTTTCTTGGTATTTTGTGGAGGAAAAGCCATAAACTAAAGCATAGGAATACTGTATTTCATATAAAAGGTATTATGTAACAGTTTAAACTGTCAAACACCAAGCGGTCACCGGTGACCGCAACCTATTGTTCTATAATTGTGTCTATAATGACGGTACTCGACGAGTTAAAGCTATATTATAGAGCAGCTACTACTTACTGTTTTCATGGGTTCAGCCGGTAAACGAGTAGACGGATCACCTGATGGTAAGCAATCGGTATCACCCATGTGAAACAAGTGAATTTCTGCAAATAGGCTACAAGGCAGCACTTTTACACGTCAATTTTATCAAGCGAACGATGAGGTCGACATTTCCTAACTGACTACTCTGAGAAGAAATGCCGAAACAAACTCGTGAACACCCGGAATACCAAGGGTGTGGTATACACTTGTCTTTACAAGTGCTTAACCGGTCATTTATGGATTAGGCATTTGAAAATTTTTGAGGATTCAGAGATTGGGGATTGGATTTTTACTTGGATGGGATTACTAGTCTCCAGACACTAAAATGTAATCGTAAAATGGAAGACACATTAACAAACACCCTTGCTCATATGTCAGGCAGGAATGCAGAATGAAGGGGTAGGCAGAGGTTTACACATTATGCCACTGTACAATGTAGGTAACACCCACTATTCACTGAGCTAGAGCTGAGCCTAGTGCCGTATACCGGGCACAATCCAGACTCCATGCTACCTAGTAATACTTTGCCCGGCCCAGGAATCGAACCCGAGACCCCTTACCAGGCAGTCGCACTTGCGACCACTCGGCCAACGACGCAGTCTGACATTAAAGAGATACTATGCATATACTATGCATGTACTATTAATGTAGGTACTATGCATAAGTCGTATTACCAAAATAATAAACCTATGATATCTACATTACCTATGTAGATACAGTAGGTATGACGTCATTAATATCTTTGCAAAACCCTTGCTGTTTTCATAAAAAATATAAGGACCTATTATGAGTTGATACTTCACTATAGCAACAGTAGTGGGACCTTTAATAAACAACCCAGGTTTTTACCTCCGTTCCTTTATTGAGTGCGAAAGAAGTTCAAGTAGCACTTAGTTATTTATTTTAGTATTATTATTTTATATAAGAGATATAATTATAGCTATATCATATTGCCACTGATTTTGTTTTCAATGAAAACAATGAGGACTGCATCTGACGCGTTGATTGTTTATTTTGCTTCGTTTTATTGTAATGATGTAGGTAGGGGTGTAGATTGTGTATCTACAGGATGTGTATTTATGATGCAGCTGGTGAATTAGTTTTGTATTACGTGTAAAAATTTCAAACATAGTGATCAGAAAACTAAATCCTTTTTTTTAAGGAGGGAATATCATCCAATGGCTTCTCCCGCCCGCGAGGCGAGATGGAGTGTCAGACTCTTACCGACTAAAACCACCCCGTTCTTACTTCTGCACTTCGAGCCGGAGCCCCGGCAACCCATTAGGTCTTCCGCGGCTCCGTATCCCCATCTGTGGTGGTCTGATGGCTTCTTGAGCTAATAATATGATTATGTTTAATGTCATACGGTATATAATGAGGTAAGTGGAGAACGGTCACCGGTGACGGCATGGGAATTTGGCAGTAACGATCATATTCTTTTTAAACCTTGCCCCACACTAAGATTTTCTCCTATGTCGTGTGTACGTTTACAAACATACAATATTACATATACCTACATGACATCCAGACCCAAAACCACAATTTGTGGATCACACAAAGTTGTATGATGTTATCCATTTTTGTAATTAGTTTCTATTGATTGTAAAATTTAACTTTGCATGCCGAAAACAGTAGGCAATGTATGTGGAACTATTTTTTATAATTACTATTACCTGTAATTACCATACTTCGTGCAAATAAACGTTCTTATTCTTATCTATGCTGGAATCGAACCCGCTACACGTTGTGCGGCAGACGGTTACCCTGCCACCGCGTCAACTGTGCAGTCAATTATAGATGATACGTTATAGATGCATAGTTAAAATTGGATCTGACACCTTCTTTCACGCGTCGCACGGATTGAACATTTACACAAACAATTCTACTCGTAGCAGAAAACCAATTGATACCAGAACGAGATTGACTTTATAATAAGCTTATCAGTGGCATTAACTGCATAAACTACCTATTCCTATTATGCTTTCGATAAGAATGTCAACTTCGCATAATATCTTAGGAATTTAAATATAAATGACTTAATAAAGACTAGAATTTCTAGTTGCAGTTGGTTATTTAAATATGGCCGCTGTGTCAGAATTCTTGATTTCCAATGAAGAAGTGCAAAATCTCTTCGAGTTTTCAATTTTGAAATATACTCAGAAATCTATGATATGTATACCTATGGCTAAGTAGATGAACACATTGAGATATCGATGCCTATTAAGAAAATCAAATTGGAACATAGATCCATGATTAGATGCTTACCTACCTACTTTTGCTACATTTTCCTCGATCATATTTCTTCATATCGATATCACAGTTTTATTCTAATTTTGAATAAGCAAAAATACTTACCAAATTCGGATATTTTAACGTAAATATTTTCACTATTCATAAAACATCATCCTGTACATTTTCACCTTCCCATTAGTGGGGTACCATTGTTTATGTTATTCCAACGTATTTGCCATACAAAAGACAGCCCAGTTGTTTATTTTATGCCAAATCACTACCCTAGTGTTCGCAATGATATCTATCAAGAACGCATATTTTATTAAAAAACATAGGGGAATATGCCTTCATGAATTTCATACTTGATTGGCACTCGATATACTCATCTAGGGAAATTGTACTTTATTCTGTACACGGTAGGCGTTATTTTTGAGTGGTTTGAAAGGATATTAATTTGGAACAGGGGTGTATCTGTTTTATTATTTTAATAAATTTTAAAATTGTGTACTGAACAGTGATAATGACTGAGTAAATAGATTGTTTCGGTTTAAAAAATGGATATGTTTATTTTGTATGGAGTGGTAGCATTTGCTAATATTTCTATAAGCAGATATACATTTTAAAAAGGATAATAATATTATGCACTGGGATAATCATAATGTGTTGTGTTGAAAATAAAATCATTAAATAAATTTTCTAATAATTTTAATTACGTATAATATTTTTTAATCGAGATATTTATAGTCCCGTCATTACAATCGGTTATAATTTACAACATATTTTTACAAATACGCTTATTATTAAATTTCTCCATAAATTACAATTTATGTACCTAAACATTAATAATGATTAAAAAGTTATTTTGTATTTAACTTACAGGATATATTTTACTTAAATCGAAATGTGTTGCAGTAAAAAAAATGTAATAAGTAATTATTTGATATGGCAACTTATAAATGCAAATGGAATAAAACATGGCCGTTATTTTAAAAGTACCAAGAACAACTCGGATTGCATGGTTTTAAATTATTCATAAGTTACTGAATATTGTACTAATTCATATTCAAAACAAATCATTAACTTAAAAAATGGAATGTAGACGAACAAAGAAAAACCATAGTTATAAAACACAGATTAATTTACAAAAAAAATATCTAATGGAATGTAACTTTCACAGGAATATAAGCAGAATAATTTTTAAATAATCTGTGGTAAAAACTATTTGTTTATTAAAAAAAAAGGCTGTTATACAAAGTTAAAATCAGTCCATATTTTCAAAATTAATAAAAATGGCGGATAGAATCAAATCGTAACGGTTTTTATACAAACGTCAATGAACAAATATTACGATATCTTCTTACAGTTTAGACATTTAAACATTTTTTTTTAATATTTTACAAAATGACACGTAGGAATCTAGAGACAAAAATATAACAATTATTTTTAACTATATTTACAAATAATATCAAAACTCGTTGTAATTAATTGGACTTTAAAAATTCCAATAAATCATTGTGAAAATAACACTATGGCTTATTCAAAAAATGTTTTTGTAATGTCGAGATTTGACATAATATTTATTGAAATGTTTATACCTAGTGTTATTGACACAATAATTACGATAAAATGTGATTTTGTCGATGAAAATTTAAATATTTTTTTATAAGTAGGTATTAATTCGATTGAATTTTCAGAGAAAATGGCCTTCATTATATGCAATGTTATATGCAGAAGTATGTAATATAGAGGTATTATGGATGTTCCCATTTACCAATATTTTTTTCTAGGTAAATTTGCTAAGTATCTAAGCATAATTAAAAAAATATTTAAGTTTTCATCGATAAAGAGACAGATCTTATTTATCAACTAACTATATTCACAATGTACAAGTAGGCTGACAAACCTATACACATATTAATATCTAATAATTTTAATCTATTTCCGAAGAAATTAAGAAGGAACTTTGGGAGTACGAAATAAGAATAAAATACACGTTTCAAATGACCAAAAATTCGGAACAATTTAGTCTTTAAAACTCGCATTGTAATAAAAAAATCTAATCTTTCAAATAGAAAATAATCTTTCATATAATTTTGACAAATCACTTGGAATTATACCAATAATATAAAGACGAAATTCGTCAAATTTCAATTAAAAAAAGACCTATATATCCCTAAAATTCAATAGAAAAACTAACGTAAAAAACGCAGTCGTTCGAAAACTATAAAAATAAACAAATAAATAAAAATCAACAACAACAAACTAGGTTTCAGGTCAAAATATGACTGTGAGTGGTCGTCGGAACTCGGGCCCTCCTTGGGTGCTTTGTGGGTACTGTCCGGGGTACTGAGGCATGAGGATACTCGAGGATCCTTGGTAGTAGGGGAGAGAAGGGGAGGGGTTTGACCCTGATGACGAGGAGCCTTCGGTCCTGTCTTGGGCTTTGGGGGTCATGTCTGGGGAATCAGTAGGGGATCGTGGGGAGAGACTGGATGGAGCTGAGTTTACGGAGCTAAGTCCTGCCATGGCGGCTGCTGATGCTTCAGAGTACATTTTACTGATGTCGACTGGGTAGGAGCGTTGTTGCTGCTGATCCATGTACATGTATGCCTTGGATAGGGCTGCGGAGTCCAGGTATCCTCGAGAGGGGTCTGGGTACATACCGTAACTGCGGTATTTTTCTGCTTCTATCGAGTACTTCGACATGTCCATTGATGAGCCAACCTGAAACAAGGAGATTTTTGGTTAATTGTTGTATAGTTTTGTGGAACAGGTCAATATATGAATAAGTACTTTAAGCGCCGGTTTCACCCCCTCTATTTAACCCATAAATCCCCAAGCGGTCACCGGTGACCGCTTTCCACTAATATTACATTACATTATAGACCTTATTTCTAATGTTTAGAGAATACTTTTGTATGACCAAATTTAGGGGATGGATATCAAGTACTTGATAAACTTATGTGACAGATAGTTCATACAAATTACGTTCTTAATTCAAATGTATCTGGTTGATAACGGCTATCCAGCAGCTACCTATAGCCAAATGCCATTTAGTGCTTGTCTATATGTAAAATAGAAAAACAGATTATATGGAATTGACGTAAGAGTTGACACTTCTCAGTGTCATTTCCATAAATTTAGTTTTCTACTCTCTCTATAGACTCGCTCTCGCTAAAGTGGCGTTTGACTAAAGGCACAGATATTGCGAAACAGGCCCTAAGTATAATTCAGTTTATGGACAAATGTAAGTTTAAGTTTAAGTTTAAAAAATAATTGGCCACTTCAAGTAACTTGAATACATTAAACGAAATTCTATTAATAATAATATGGATGCAATAAAACGAGTTTCAAGAACGACCTCATCAAAACGAGTAAAGAATTCAAGAGAAATACATTTAAATGAATAAAATGTTCATTTCAATATCGTATTCATAAATATCGGATAAAGTTAATACCGTATAACGAAATGTCAGCAAACAAATCATAAATCGAGACATTTCCCAACATTTACAAGTCGACAGTACCCCGAGACCATTCATACAAACTTTGTAAGAAAACTGTAATCTATCTTAACAAGAATTACTCACAAACAACATAATTCAACTGAAATTAAATATGAATTTTCTTTAACAATTTACATATGAATTGTACACAGTCAACATCCTACTTTATTCTCCGAAAATAAGGTTCCAATTTGTACGAGAATGTATTGAAACGTAATGCAGTACTGTATTTTACACGCTCAGACACACAAATCATGCGTAACAATGGAATCGAATAAAGCTTCGAATTTTAAAATTTTTAATGAAGTGAGCCGTACACAATATTGTGAGGAAAATATCGTTTGTGCGTTACGACACACGGACACTTTGTTCAGCGAACAATGGCTGTATACAGGTTGAAGTTACGAACTGTAATTTACACAGCTCGACAGGTGATACATTTTGTTACGTTAGTACTTTGCATAGCTTTGGCATTTAACTGAATATTCTGCTTTAAATTTAGTATTCGTAAAACAGTCCTGTTGTAAATTCACACTATATCTCCGTATATTTGACAAGTTATTTAAGTTAAAGTTTTGCTTGACGCTTGGACCAAGTTACACTGGACTGTTTGTAACCACAAACAAGTTGATTGTTAATTCGTGTATGGTTGTACAGAATGGATATAATTCTATTTTACAATAGTGATTGTTATGACTTTGACTACATCATAAATAGGGATTAGTAGCACCTATTGGACTTACATTACAAACTATCAAAAATCCATAAAAGGTTTACGTTCCTAATCCCGAAAATTTAAATAACAAAATAAATAATGACAATAGGATGTTACAATGAAATGAAGCGCTCTGTTCGCCCACTAGTTAGTTGGTTTATTTGAAGGGCTGTGTGTAGCGTGCGTTTGCGCATAACATACGACGGCCGGTCAGCGCTAGAGTGCTAAATCAGGATTAGTGAGACGGCCAGGCATCATGTAGTGGAGTTTACTGCCCGCCCCTACAGCTATTTTATTGCAAGCCACTTTATATGAGCCATGGTTTACTCTTTTTTTTTCTTTTGGAAAACTATTTAAGCGGTATTTTTCAATGATGGTTGTAATAGATTTTGGTGTATTCGATACTGATCTATTTGTCGTGCAGATATAATAAATTCGAAGAATCTTGTGTTACTAACAGATGCTACAGGATCAGGTGAGTTTCTATTACTTTATGTTCATAAGAAAATATGACTTATGTATTAAGTAATCAAGAACATTGCGACAAAAACCCTTCACACTTAAGCACACATCAGCAGCCTATAAGTGACCACTGCTGACTAAAGACCTCTTCTCAAGGTTTTAAGCATTAATCACCACACTTGCCCAATGCGGGTTGGCGATTTCAAACTTATGATTACAAATTTTAAACCCAGGTTTCCTCACGATGCTTTCCTTCACCGTTTGTCAATGGTGTCTAAATAATCTTAGAAAGTAGATGATTTCCGAGTTACATAACTCGGAAAAAGTCACATTGGTGCTTGCCGTTGGTAGGTAGGTTTCGAAACAAAAAACCCTTAACACTAGTAAAAAGGTTTTTTTTAATTGGAGCAATCCAAAAACTACTAAATTACTAAATGACTCTAAAACTGATTTCACACCACATCAAGATTGGTAATGAGTCGCGAACCGGCCTACAACCTGCACCCGTGTAAGCAGTTGCCTATCAACCGTTCGCCAACCGTATAAATCATCTATCAACATAATCGAATAGTAAAACTACAATGGTTCGTTAAAGAACTCAACATTTGGCGGTACAACACGGAACTAGGGTTGCTACGTGTATCTACTGATCCATTCTTTCGTTGCTTCTGTAACTTGGAAGTAGTTTTGTAGGTTATGTAGGGATAGTGTAGCTGCTAAAAGACTTATTTGTTTTGTAAATAGAATGTTATTGTATATTTTAAATTAGGAAATCGAAGACGCTTCCAAAAAAGTAGAAGTAAAAGATATAGACACAATTAAAATTATCCAAGAAATCTTGATTAAGGAAAAATGAATAACATCAAAATTACTTGTTAAAAATATACAAATGAATAAAAAAGGTAACCAGAACATTATTATCCACTGTTTAAAATACCAAAATTAAAAGTGACAACCCTAATAACCCGAAAACGCCTAATCACTGTTTTTAATACAACACAGGTAAAGTTGCAGTTGTTGATATGAATAGTGGCTGATTATATTGTTTCCTACTGGTATCCGATACCGGTACCGCGAGAATTGGTCACGGTAATCCAAAAACCGCGGTATCATCCAATAGCTCAACTATTAACGTCGGGGGTGCGAAAGACCGAAGCCGACGGGTGCAGGGTTAATTAAATGTTTTGGTCACACCTCGGCGTTTTAAGGTTAGGCCTTTTTTGTGATTGTGAGTTATGATGTTGGTCCTTTTTTGTACATATGTTGTTATTAAATAAGTGTTTAGGGGAAAAAAGGTGATTGGTTGGAGCTACCCTTAAAATGGTGAAACTTTTTAGTGTCATGGATATCTAATGTAATAAATAAATATTAAATAGGTTAGGAATACCCGTAACAAAAGCAGTATGGTAACGGTAGAGATCCCAGAGTAGTAGTAGTTAGCTCATGTTGTAAGAGCGGCATATATATACCATACACTGAGTGATACCACGGCCTCACAGAAAACTGACGTGAAGTAACGCTTGCATTGTGGTTTGTAGTGTAAGTGAGGTTACCGGAGGCTCAAGTACACCTTTCCCCTTCCCCAACCTCCCCAATTCCTGAATCCCTAACGATCCTCAAACTCCTAATCCCCAAAGGGTAACGCACTTGTAACGCCTCTTGTGTTCCGGGAGTCTATGGGTGGCGCCGATTGCTTGCTATCAAGCGATCCGTCAGATCGTTTACCGGCTTATGCCATAAAAAATATTTGACAAAACCCGAACAACAATTCTCCCTGATAAACCTGAATCCGCCAACCCGCCTGCCAACTAAGGTTGTGCAAAAGAGACCACAAACACCAAGTAATCTAAACAATAAAATCATTAAAAACTGTTTGCATTTATTTTAACGATGATCATAACATTGAAAGCTGTTATAATGAACGCTTCATTTAACTAACCGAAAACTCTTTGTGTGTAATGATGTCAATGTCAAGTGACTACCGTATTGATTACCTCCTTTATTTAATGATTGAATCATTGTACAAGTAATCATTTTGTTTTGCAATCTTATTCAAAATAAAGATGGCGTCAATCTTTGAAGTTTGTTAATTCGTTATTGATGTAAGTTAAAGTTATTGTTTGGGTTCTTTTGTGCACTGTTTTTGATTTGCACATGTATTGCATATTGCAATAAAGTTTTAAGACTAGCATTATCGAAATAACTAATCACAATGAATAGATTTTGGATTAAAAATACTTATTAATGTCGATCGTTAAACGAACTTTAAAACAGTTATATGTAAAGATATTTGAGAACCATTTTTTATGGAATAGGAATAGACGGATCACCTGATGGTTAGCGATCAGTGTCGCCCAAGGATACCCGCAACACCAAATGAGTCACAGGTCCATTGCTGGCCTTTTAAAAAGGAATACGCTCTTTTCTTAAAGGTTTGAAGGTCGTATCGGTTCAGAAATACCGCCAACGACAGATTATTCCATAGTTTTGCTGTTCGAGGCAGAAAGCTACGTGAGAAGCGCACAGTTGTGGCCTGCCAACCACCTATACGATGGGGATACATATGCTGTCGTGAGGGTCGATGGCGAAAAGTTGCGGCAGGTATCAGGTCAACACAATTCCTCAGAGCACTCCCCGTGATATGAACGTTAGAAAATGCACAACGAAGCTACATCTCTACGCATTGCCAAAGTGTCTTCTCCAATTTTGTAAGTCGATTACACAAGTTTACAAAGATCACAGAAGTTTAATCAGAATTGCATTCCAAATCCTTTATTCTCTATTAATCTGTGAATAAGATTTTAATTTAAATTTAGTTTTAAAATGATAAGTCGGCCTGGTCCTTATAATAGTGCTTAAATAGATTTATCTATGTAAACAATCTAATATTGTGTTTGAATTAAACTTACGTATCTAACAGTAACTGTAATTAATTGTGATTACAATAACAAATCTTTGTTCAAAGCAAGCACAACTGCTTAAAGAAAACATTAAGAAATATTGAATTTCAAAACTTTAACAATCAACGGCCATCATTTATTACTTTTAATTGTGAAAGTAATGTTAAAAGCCTTTACAAAAACACGGGTTATCAGTAAATGCAATCAACTAATTGAATATTATGTAGTTATCTTTATAATCTCAACTTTCACTTGAATGTGACCTGAAACTGACGAACGGTGTGTTGGAAGTTTGCTAAAATGTTTTTAAAGTCGTTGCTTTATGATTTAGGTTCAGAAGCCCAATATTTATATTCAAAAGTGTATCATTGGGTCCATGTATTTTTTTGTATAGCATGTAAACGACTAGACGGATCACCTAATGGTAAGCAATCGGCGTCGCCCATGGACACCTGGAACACCAGAGGCGTTACAAGTGCGTTACAGATCTTTTGGGGATTGGAAATTTAAGGATTGTTGGGGATGGTATAACTAGGGGAGGGTGGTAACTAGTGTTTCGTGAGAACGACAAAGATTTCGAGATAGTAATGCTATAAAGTACGAAAAAGTTTTTTGATATTGTGTAAAATAACTGCTCCGTGGACCGTAATGATTACTGGCTAACAATGCTCAACTCTTTGGAGAATTATAATCTCCTAGTGTGTAACAAAATATAAAGAACTGATAGATAAAACTGCACTAAAGACAAGAGATGAACTTAGAAATCGACAATCCAGTCAATCATGTAACTTAAGCAATCAATCTATTAAGAACTAAACGAGATCTAATCAAATTACACCACCGACCACTTTAAACTGCAGCCACATTACATCTAATTCTATCAAGTACTTACAAACAAACAATTTAATAATCCCCGACATAATGCAATAAACTTAAAACAACGTTCCCTCCTTCAACATAGACGTCACTTTCACAAGATTAAACGTCAAATAGAGGAGGGAAGGAGGTTTTTAAATCGGAGGGCAAAGTCCCAGGGGCAAGGGCGATTAGGGTGTTGTCATAATATTTTGTAGATTTTCTATTACGTACAGGTGATGAGAATTAAAATAAAAATAAATAAATAATCTCTAGGTATTACGCAAACAAGTACTCAAGTATACATTAATTTGATATAAGGCATAATGCCGTAGTACCTACAAAATTTAAGACTGTCAGAGTAACTCAGTGCTAGGGAAATACCTGTATCACAGAGATCAGTGCCTTTATGGGTTGGTATTATTGTAATTCTAGTATAGCGGACGTTACATTGATCAATTAAACTGTCAAACACCAAGCGGTCACCGGTGACCGCAACCTATTGTTCTATAATTGTAACCGGGGCTCCGACTCGACGTGTAGGAGAAGGAACGGGGTGGTTTTTAGTCAGTAAGAGTCTGACACTCCCTCCCGCCTCACCCAGGCGGGAGCAGTCATTCGATGATTTTCCCCCTTTAAAAAAAAAATTGTTCTATAAATGTGTCTATAATGACGGTACTCGACGACTTTAAATTGTGTGAAAATAAAATTGTGTGAATTTGGATGACAGTGTCCAGTATAATCTAGGCAGTTATGAATTGACTTTTAGTCTAGCTTCAGTATTTGTTGCTACCAATGTTTGAATGCTGAGAAGAATTTTGGTAAGTACTTGTACTTACCTAAATTCTGCAATACTGCTGTAGTATTGCGTGATAAACAACAGGATGGGTTCCTGGTTTGATTTGAATGTAGTCGAGTTAACTCGTGAGATAGTTACATGAATAAACTGACTGCACGATAACTTGGTCTTACCTTCTCTCGATAGCCATACATAATACAGAATATTAATTATTTTATTATAAACTACGCTTAAAAAAACCGACTTCAACCACCTCTCTTTTTGAAGTCGGTTTATTAATATAATAAAACCTCCTTCTATACTTTTCTGAAAACCGCAACCAAATTGGTTCAGCCAATCGGGAGATATTCGCGCACAAACAAACATATCCAAGGGAAACTGAGCAACTCAGTCTTTTCTTCTTTTGAAGTCGATTAAAAAGATGTTTTATCCGACATCATACAAGAAAAACTAAAAAAAAGTTTAATTTGAAACTCAAAATCACCTACTTTCCAATTCGCTTTCAAAATAACGATCGGATATTCGCACATTTGACTCCCATCCTTATTTAGGGTGCGTACACGTCAAGTATGGTGTTAATTCCCGAGAATTTGTTCTAGAGAGGGTTCGACTTCGAATCCAACTAACCGGCACAGATTGGGGGAAGAGATTGCGAGATTCAATGACTTGTGCTAAATAAGTAGGCGTTCTGGATGTAATCTTTTATTTTTCTGACGTGTGATTGAAAAAGGGGTTTGTTTACAAAGAAGTGACGTCATAAGTCTTTGTAGGTACGTATTTTGCTTCTGCATGAGATTTTGTTGTTCGTTTCCGTTTATTACTAAACGTGTCCGTCGTTGATTTTGTTTGATAGTTCTAATTTTTAACGACGAACTATTCAACGTCACCAAAGGAATGAGCAGAGGATTGCTGCTCACTATTTTTTCATGTTTATCTAAGGCAACAAGGTATATCATTTGAAATTATATATTAAAATCTGCATAATTATATACTGGACTAGACTTAAATAGTATTGTATTACCTAATACAAAGTCTTGGTCTTGATTCCAATTTATTCCAATTCCTAGTAATAAATCTATCCAATAATCCTTGACAATTTAATTATTAAACTAATTTAATATCAACAAATACGTGTACTATTCATAAATTTGCAATCCCCTTGATTCAACACCGCAGATCTACATTTATTACACCGTTCCGAACGTCCCCTCGACACCTAATTATTTCTCGACTACACGCTGTTTTGAGAGGGTACACGACGGTGTGATGGGATGATTCTATTTCAATTGAGATATTAATTTAAGTACCTGTTGTTATGTTTTAATTAAATTGTAATTTAATGTTGCATAAGATTTAAAGGTTTTTGGGGAAATTAACAAAGGGTTACGGTTTACAAATGTTTGTAGTTTATACAATTTATTTGTTCGTTGAACATGCCAATGTATAGAAGACTAATTCTCAAGAATTATACCACAAACAAATAGAATCTAATGCCATATGCCTTTTTATACAAAGTTCAATGTTGTCAAGTCCAGCAATCAGAAAATACAAATCAGTTGGTTTTACCTTTTGTAGCTGTATCTATGATACATAGACCAAGGATAACATGAGGATCAAGGCACCACAAGAAAGAAATAAAGTGTTATATAAAAATTACCTTATCACAAAAAAATACCATTACCAATCCAATTCCTCATCCTTCATAAAACCATCAATTTCTAACATATGGTTTAACAATGCCAAGCTTCATTACACGCTCATCAAGTGCACAATTTTTTATACAACTTAAGTAGGAGCGAAAATTACAGAAATTAGATAAAATTATTGACACGCTTCATGATTAGAGTGCGTCAGCATGTTTTTTTTAAAGAATTTCTCCCGCACGATGTTCCTATTTCATGGTGTTAATAGATTTAAGCAAAACGTTTAAGATTTCATGCCTTCGCGCTAAATGGTTGATAGTATAATTAGCGCCTCCATTGGGCCTTCGTTCGGTCTTTTTCGGTAAGGTTCGGTAATCATCGGTTATTGTTGTTGTTTTTGTTTGAAGGTCAAATTTCTATGGATTCTACAGACTGCACTAAAGTGAAAAGTATTTTTTCTTAGAAGGTAGTAAAATTCGAGGCCACCGTTATCCATGCCTTTCAATCCTATATCCTTCACATTTTAGAACAGTACATTTGAAGAATAATGCAACAAAATTAACGACATAAGTCAGGTAAGGTGTCTTCTGCAATTTTTATACTTATTTTGATTTTTAGTGCGATATCAAATTAAACCCCCGACCAAATAAACTTGCAACATTAAGTTGTAAGTTTAAGTTTAGTTCAAAATCGTAGACCAGTAACAAGGAAAAAGTCGTAGATAGACAACAAACTAACTTTACACCTAATGTTCTTTTCCAGAATCTTACCTGTGGGTTAGGAGTTAAGGCAGCGCTGATAGCATTCTGCTGAGCTGCTGCAGCAGCAGCGGCCGCCATACTGGCTCCTAGTGGACCATATGCCGCTCCATAGTAGCCTCCCATTGCTTGACCCATGCCACCGCCTGCCATACCTGGGGAAGAATAGAAGATTTTTAATCAGTTAATACTACAGTCTTTCTTTACTAGCAAGAAGCCTATAGTCTCTTTGACTGCTGGTGTAGGCTCCATAATTTTGAGTAGGAATAATGGTTTGCGACTACAGTTGAAAACTATTGTAGGTATGAACAATGCAGTCTCAACACGATTGAACGAAAGAACAGATTCTTCTTTTCTCCAAGTGGATATTTTTTATTTCCTTTACTAAATACTTAGAGGTACATCCGCTACAAAAGAATAAAAATGAAATGTTCAAGAAATCTTTCAGATATTTTTTTGTTTATGGAAAATTCTCTAAAGAGGTATCATTCCACAAAACTATAGACAACCATCCAAAGAATTCAAAATAAATTCCACAACAGTTCCAAATTCAAAACATTCATAGACGATAGAGCGGAATGTCTAATTCACAGCAGTCGGCAAGTGGCCACCGTAATGGACAGTACAGCTATAGACCGACGCACATTCATAATGGCGCTCCGGGAACTCTGATTCGAGCACCAATTAATTATTTCATTGTACTACGAATAATCCCGCCCTCGAGTGCTATTAACTAACGGTCAGTTCCTTAGACGTGTTTATTAAATACGTCTCCGAGGGGCTAGTTTACTCGCTTATTGACCATTAATTCGGATTAGGAATTTAATTTAGAGCGACTGATTTATTACTACTTAATCTCGTTTTATTAATATTTAAATGTGATTTTACCTACTGATCTATATACGGACTTAAATCACGTAGATCATTAATGAAACATTGTTGCGAGATACAATTATATTAATATTCTTATTGAATATCGATTTCATATTTTTTCAATAATATGAAGGACCGCCATAAATAATAAATATTTGATAAATTAATACCAATAAATTACACAGGCAATCCACGTCAAATGGTAAAATGGAACTGTCAAATTTTGCGGTAAAATATTTATAATCCAACCAAATTAGGATGTCACGACAATCTAAGCACTTGTAATGCTATTACGTGCAAATTGAAATACACTTCATGTCTCGCGTGAAATATTCGAATATAGAATTTAAATAAAAAATATATGAGACACCCCTATTGTGGTGACGTCAGACGAATCTACAATATATTATAAACCGCAGCAAAATTATAAAGCAGTTTATTAAAAGGACAATGAGTCCTCCGTCAAAGCAATAGGGTGCGGTATCGCTTGGGAGTTCGAGTTTCGCGAACGCAAATAGATGCGTCAAGGTTTTTAGAAAGGGACGATCGTGATTTTTTATTATATTTATAATTAAATTCCCTGTCATCTCTTTTGGGTATCTGGTCTCCTGGTATTGGCGTTTGCCCAATGGATTTTTTATATTCACATTTTCCAAGTTTTCATTTAATTTAAACAAAATGTGAATGAGTTCACATTACTCACAATGACATTGATTGACGGCGAGGATGTTTTTTCCTAGTAGGTAGGTAAACGTAAGACTCAAATCAAGTAAAAATGCTGGTTTCTAAGGAAACATCTGACTGACACAAATACGAAGTGCTTAGACATCAATGGTTCTTAATAAACTTGTAAATTGTTTCATATTTACCTACAGTCACACAAATTTGATGTAAGCGAAAATTGGAAGGATATGCCAAAATACTGGAAAATCTTGTAATAGAGTCAGTGCGTTCGTTAATAACCATTGGTATAATACCGCAAATATACGCAAGACACAATGTGTTTCTATTGTGTACAAAAAAGACATGGTTAACACAATAACCAATAAAAGTAAAGTAAAGAAGATCAAAGTAATGAGCACCTCTTCAACTTTTCACAACCAAATCAGTTTTATCATAATCGTCTCTATAGTTACAATATTTTTTTCAAACTCAGGCTTTGAATACTTTAATCTCCCACATCACGTGGCAACTCCATCTGATTTTCTCGAAACGAACCCTTACAATACCTACCATCAAAGGCTGCACACATAACCCTAAATTAACTCACTGTTGGTCGAACAGACCGTCAACAAAAACCCAATTAATTTCCACCAACGGTTTACACAGAAACCGCTTAAATGCAACATCAAAACTGTAAATGACTAATTTTAATTAATAAAACAAACGAAAATTTCCTTAAGAGTTGTTACGTTGGACTTTTTCGACTCGAAACTTGGGCTGGAAGTTGAAAAAGTCCTTGAAAGGGTTCAAAAGGGTTATTAAAATAGGCGATTTTTGTTACTTTGTAAAAGTTTAAAAAGTAAAAGAAAAGCAACGTAGGTACCTTGGATATTAATGTTTACGAGAAAAAGAAAGTTAATTTTTTTAGGAATTTCAAAAACTTACACGTGGAACCCTTAGTAGTGCATCAATCGGCTTAAAAGTTGTTAGTTTTCGGAGAGATTTTAGTTCGGCGATAGCAACACAAGTACAATCATATACCTTCTCCTCCTGTAGGTACTAGAACGATACAAAACACAGTTACCTCAACAATCCTTCGACATCAATAGAAGTCGACAGTCCACAAAAATTAAAAGCTGGCTCACAATGGATGTAATTTCAAACACGATTCACCTCCGTCAGAATCCATATCATTCATAATGACCATCTTCCGACCGGCCCCTGAGTATGTAAATATAGCCCGACTATTGTGAGGATCGACAGAAAGGTCGGACACCGGGCTAAATGGGATTTTCGTACGGGTTTCCTTTTCAATGCCCCCGTTTTTTTCTTTCCTCTCTCTTTATATTTGAATGTGTTAAATTTCTCGGAAAAATGCTTATTTTCTGTCCCGTCAGGTGGGTAAGGTGATTTATAGAGTGACCTTAGATGGTATCAATGGTTGAATGTGTGGCTTATTTCAGGAGTTTCGGCCGAAATGAGTTTTGGGTTAGTGAATTGTTCGTACTTTATATTACGGTTGTATAAAACGAACTAAAAGGTATTCGTGTGTAGGTATAGATACAACAATTGGCCTTTGAATTCAATATTACGATAGGAACACGTGGTAAGTGAAGAAAATGACGTCACAGTTGAGTCCAGATTTTAAACACAAAAACCTTTCGGTAATACTCTAAAAAGTATCTGTCGTCTCGTTCCCTATTGTATAAAGCATCATACCCAATTTTCAATCTACCAAAAATATCTTCCCTCGGATCAAAATGTACTAAACGAACGATAAAATCAGATCACAACATAATCCCGTGGAACCCTAAAACAACCTTCAGCAGTTCCATTTATCCTCGAAAAACGATCTGAACAAATGACAAGGGGTATATTTTCGCCGTTTCATAGCATGGGGAGGGTTGTCCGCAGACGTACTTAACAAACCGTGGTTAAATTGATAGATTAGCCACAATTTGTGCAAATCATCGTTTTTGCTTGTTTGTAGTTATGGATATTAATGTGATATGGTATTTGGGTTGAGTGATACAATTATCTCGTTGGGGTTATGTAATTATTTCAAGTATCATAATTACTGGTGGTGTATGCAGGTGTTTGGGGTGTGTTTTAAATAATGATAAAACTAGGTTATCGTTCTATTATCAAGTTACAAGAGGGTTATTGAAGTACATTTGTTACTAAAACAATATTCTCATGTACACTATCCATATGTCGTAAACCCCAAAAAAATCAAAGCAAAAATATAAACAAAACGGCAAGTCATTTCCCAGACCCATAAACAAAAATTTCTCGCTCCACACGTCCGTTCTCCCTAACGTCCCGCGCTCAACTGTCATGTAAATGACGTCACGTGACCGGAAGCAGTTTGGCGGGGGGAGGGTCTTCCGGCGACGCACGCGATTGGACACTTCCGTTCGGTAACAAACTGCTGGTATATAATATGCTAATCATGAATAAGCAATTTATTGGATTATTGTATGGATTAGCATTGCCTGTTTTGCCCTGTATAAGTGAGGATTAAGGCTGTCGGATTTATTTTTTTGGTGATAACAAGGAATTTTTATTCTTTAATGTACGAAAATAATAAAAATGAACCAAAAATAGTTGGTATAACGACTTTGAACTCAATTTTCGAACATAATATTTTACTGAAGCCTTTTCCAGCGTGGGTATACAAAACACTTAAGTAAATCCATATTTGATTGGCAAATTTTTATACATTATTTACAATGTAATTCAGTATGAAAGAGTAAGAAACACCACCCTTAAAAACTTCCGCGTTCGATCTCTTTTTATTCTTCATTGTCAACACAACACCAAATCTGATGGCCTCCATAAAAATCCAATTATAACTTTCTTTTAATTCCATTACTTACTTTTTTATCAAAGTTAACAGTACACATGTTTTTGTCATTAAAACACAATTGTATGAGGAAACTCCACAAACCAAAACCTTTGGTACTTGAAGAAACGTCTGATGGAAAATTACTGGTCCCAATTTTTTACCAGCAATACTTAGAATGACTGAAATTAGTTTAATTAACCGTTCACTAGACCAGACTTTTTCTAGTACCACGATAATTCCTTACAACTCTATAAACCAGATATTACCAGTTTTCTCCAGATAGAAGCTATTTTTACTAGCTTAATTGAGAAATCGCGTGGACAAGTGCGAGCCCAGATTTTTTGCAACGTAGTGTAGAGCTAAATCGATTAGCTACACTCAATGTTAAGGAAAATGTAACATCATTAGATGGGTAAACAACGAAACTGTTGTTTCTTAAAATAAACTGGCGAGCAAAAAATTGACACCTCACTGTTTTTGTAAAAATCTATAATTAGATATGCTATGATGAAGAATAAAGGGAAAATCGGTGCCAGGCTTAGCCCGTTTTTTGGTTGACATTGTAAGCAAACAGTAAAGTAATTTTGATTTGTCATTGTGGTATTTTCCTGACTTGCGTTAAGGTTTAGCATAGTTTTTATAAGTTCGAAGAAAAAGGGTTAACCAACAATAATGGAAAGTACAAGGGTGTAACGACTTCGAATTATACATAGAAACAATTGGCTAAAATACTTCTGTATTTCCTTAGCTTGTGTATTTTTTTTTTTTTAT